GAAATGAGTTCTCACATGTTTGTTGCCCAGGCTGGTCTCGAACTCCTGGCCTCAAGCATTCCTCCCTCCTTGGCCTCACAAAGTTCTGGGATTACAAGAGGGAGCCACTGCTCGGCTGAGATACCATCTTTATAAGCTATTTTGTAATGGTGTAAGGTGCTCCATTGACTAAGAGAGGACAAGCCAGCTGGCACAGGGAATATGTGGATTGTGTGTTTAGGTTTGTGCTTAGTTGATGGAGATGGTGCAACTGTTCTAGAATGGCAGTAGGAGTGGAGAGTAATGTCTACAAGCTTCTGGAATGCTGAGCACTCCAGCTAAGCCAAGATGTAAGGAGGCAGGAGGGCATCAAAGATTGTGGGCTCATGTAGGTGCCAACGTCACAGGATACTTGGGTTGTTGCTTTTCCAGCCAGAAACCTTTGTAGCCAGTGGTGCCTTTGTCCAAGTTTGCTCAGGCCCACTGGGCTCATTTCACCCACTTAGCCTGGCAAGCTGTGTGCAGCTTGTCCTACTGGCCTGGATCCCATGCCTGCCAAGGGCAAGCCAGGCACAGAGCAGCGAGAGATGTGTGAGCAAGCAAGCATGGGGTCTGGCCTCTGCACACAGCCAGGCATGCCAGCTGTGGCAGGGTGGGTAGCTCCAGGTGCCAGCATGGACATATCTCCCTGTGAGGCTGCAGCTGGACCAGGCATACCACAGGTAGTTTCAACAGCTGGCACTGGGGAATGCAGTGGCACCTAGAAGCTTGGAGACACCAGGAACCACAGAGCCCCAGAGAGGGTAATCATAGCCCTGGGCTGGGGAGCTCCTAGGCCTGGTCTCCCCAAAGGGCTACAGTTCTTCTCTCCTTGTTTTGCCCATAATGTGGCAAGCAAGGGGTATATTTCAGCCCTGTTTCTGTTACAGCTCTTTTAGTGCCACCATTTGGCCAGTAGGTCCTGAGTACTTGTCCCATGTCCTGGAAGAATGAGGTATGTGGACAACTGGAGGGTGAGCAAGGCAGAAAGGAGCTTCACTGAGTGGCAGAACAGTTCTCACTGGGTATCTCCTTTCCACAGGCAGGTTGTCCTGATGGGCGTCTAGCCCTCAGTGCAGAGGAGACCCACAGTGGGTAGCTCCCTTCCACAGGAAGGTTGCCCTGATGTCTCTGCAGCCCTCAGCAGAGAGACTCAAGGGGGTAGCTCCTATCTGCATGCAGCTCATCCCATTGTCTGCCTGAGTCTGGCTGAGTCTGGGGTTTTTATGGATTTCAGAAGGGAGGAAGTGTGTCCTGATTGGTCCATGGGCAGCCATGGGCTGGCCCAGTAAAAGCACCGTAAGTTCTCACTCCAGTCTGCGAAACTGAAAACCCAGCCCCTAGGCTTCAGGCCATCCCTGGCTTGAAGGTGGGGCTTCACCAGCGACCTGCCCCATTCCACCCAGGAAGCTGTTTGCCTCCTGCTGCCAAAACCTGCTGTCCATGGCACCCATGGCACTCAGGCTCATTATGCTGAGGGGTGCCTACAGGCACATGTTGAGCTTCCATTAGCCCCACCCTGGCCTCCCTCCCATGCTCATCAACGTCCAAAGCCTAGAGGAGGCCGAGGCGGCAGTGGACTGGTGTGTCAGTGCTTCCCTGAGTGCGTGCACGCCCAGCTGGGTCATGACAGCACCTTGGCTCAGCTTCAACTTTGCTCCAAAATCAGAGTGGGTACCAGGAGAGGCCAGGCAGCAGGAGCAGGCACTTCTGAGCCTATGGGGGAAGGGGGGGCTTTCTAGGTCCCTGAGAGCACAGGAATGCCTATGTCTGTAGCCACAGCTGGGACCTGGGTGGCTGCAGCTGTGCCTGGGCAGGGCTGCCGCCCCTCTAACTCAGAAGGGAGTGGGGCTCCTGCCTGTTCCTAGCTCCTGCCAGCTCCACAGAGCCTGCAGTCCTGGCCACACCTTGCCACTGTAGCTAGCATCATGGCAGTGGCTACTCCAGATAGACCACTGCTGCCATCACCAAGATAGGATGAAAAGAAAAGACAAATGTAATAGCCCTGTTTAGTGTCTGCAGCTCCTGCACCAGGGTCCCAGCAGTCCAAACTGAAAACCCAGGAAGCTGGCTCTGAGCTTACTAGACTTTTATACAGGGATGGCCACATATTCCCAGCACTTTGTCAGCCACAGCCTCCATATCTGGAGGTCAGGCAAAGTGAGCCAGTCTTCCACTCCAAACGAAAATGCACCCCTATGTGTATCAAGGGCCGCTGCCACACAGTGCCTGGGGAAGCATGGAATCAGGACTCTAGACTTGTGTTTCTCAAAGTGGATTGGTGTATCAGTGTGTGGCCCCTGAACCAGCAGCATCAGCGCGTCTGGGAACTTGTTAGAGACACTCATTCTTAGTCCCCATCTGAGACCTGCAGAATCAGAAACTCTGGGGGTAGGGTCCAGAATCAGTGTTTTAATAAGCTCCCCAAAGAACTCTGATATATGTTCAAGTTTGGGAGCATTAGTCTAGACCAGTTCCAGGAGACGCTAATGCTGTTGGCTTCAGGGCCACACTTGGAGAACTACTGTTCTAGAAATTTCATAAGCAAATCACTTGATTTATGAGTCCAGTTGTTTTATTGTCTCACTCTGTCACCCAGGCTGGAGTGCAGTGGCACAATCACAGCTCACTGAAGCCTTGAATTCCTGGACTCAAGTGATCCTCTCTCTTCAATCTCCCCAGTAGCTAAGACTACAGGTGTGTACCAACACACCTGGCTGATTTTTAATTTTTTTTTGTAGACATGGGTCTTGCTTTGTTAGCCAGGCTGGTCTCCAGCCTAAATCCAGTGATTAATTAATAAGTATTATCCAACACCTAAGTGCTGTTTAATTATGATTACCTCTGAGAAAGGGAATTGTGGATAACTTTTAAAATTTTATGTATGTCTGTATTGTTCAAAATTGTTATAGAAACATGTAGTACTTGTAGATAAAAAACAAAAATAAATTTTTTAATAAAAATACTTCATTTTAGTATAGTGCTTTGTAGCAGTGCTTCTCAAACTTTATCATGCAAGCAAATCCCCCAGAAATCTTGTTAAAATGCAGATTCTGATTCAGTAGCTTGATAGTTTGGCCTAAGATTCTGCATTTTCAACAAGCTCCCTGGTGATATGGAATCCACCAACCACACTTTGGGTTTACAACAGCAGTACTCAATCTTTTTGGCATGAGGGACCAGTTTAATGGAAGGCAGTTTTTTCACAGACGGGATGAAGTTGTTCCACCTCAGATCATCAGACATGAGATTCTCATAAGGGGCGTGCAACCTAGATTCCTCACGAGGGCAGTTTACCATAAGGTTTGTTGCCTCCTATGAGAATTCTAATGCCACTGCTGATCTGACAGGAGGTGAAGCTCAGGAGGCAATGCCAGTGATGGGGAGTGGCTGTAAATACAGATGAAGCTTGGCTGGCTTGCCCCCTCTTACCTCCTGCTGTGCGGCCCAGTTCCTAACAGGCCACAGACTGGTCAGTGACCTACAAAGCACATTCATGTATATTATGTTACCTGTTTCCTGTCACAACTCTGGCAGATAGGGGTTTGCTAATTCACTTATTCAACCATTAGGTATTACTATTAATATATACCAGGCACTTTGCATGCAGATATGCCATAGTCTAATGGAGTGGAAAACCTACCACCCAACCAAACAGAAAAACGCAGGTAAACCGGCGAATAAGTAATTACAGATAGTTGTCAGAACTGAACAGGAAGTAAAGATGGTGCTGAAAAAGAATAACAGGAACCACTTCGAGAAGGCCTCTAGGAGGAGGTGACTTCAGCAGGGATGAGAAAGATGAGCCACCCAGTTTGGGGGCCAGCTCTGGGCAGATACCAGGAAGCTCCTGCAGCTAGAGTGCAGGGAGGGAGGGGAGACCCCCAGACCAGGCTCGGAAGGCTGTGGTAAAAGGCCAATTTCAATTTAAGTCCGGGGTAAGCACTGAGGACTTCAAGCACAGAGGTGACTGCTCTAGTATTTGCCCTAGAACCACGTTGGCTGTTGTGTAGGAAATGAAACCTCTCCGGGGTCGTCTCGGAGCTGGTGCGGGGAGTGGTGTAGGAAGTCCCGGGCCATGTGGGGGCGCCAAGGAGTCAGGCCTGGCGCTCCTGGAGCCGCGCCGATCCACTTGCAGAGTCCCTCTGTGAATAGCAAGCCTACCAGGGCACGTGCTTTTACTGCTGCACTGAGAATGTGAAACGCGCGCGGGATAAGGGTGCACTTTCCTCTTTCCGCCCTTACAGAGGGCCCGGGCTCCCATCCACGCTTTGCTGGTTATGTTGGCATCTCGGACATTTCCCCCTCTCTGCCTCAGTCTCCCTACCTGTCAAAGAGGACCTTGGGCCAGCCACGGGTGACACGCCCGTGCACCTCTCCAATAGTGTAACTCGGGCAAGCGGGGAGGCGGGCACAGCTTGGACAGTGGCGGCCTCGAGCGGCACATAGGGCTGGCTTTCCACCAGGGAAACTGAGGCAGTGAGGCGAGGAGCGCGCCTCCTCGAAACTCCTCGCAAACTCCCAGCGCCTGTGTTGGGTCCTCGCAGGCTACGCAGCCCGCCCATCTCCTAGCGGAGGACCCCGCCCAGCGCTGCCAGGGGCGGGGCCGGGCGGAGGACCCGGGACTGGAAGGGAGGGCGGAGGACCCGGGACTGGAAGGGAGGTCGGAGCCCCCAGTTGGGTCCGGGACTCGCAGCGGGCGGCAGCGGCGGCGGCGAACTCCCGTGCAGTCCCAGTGCTAGAGCGCAGGACGGACGTGCGGGGCAGCCCTCGGGGTTCTCCAGCCAGGCCCGGGGACGGGAAGCCCAGCCACGCTGCCGGGGGCAGGCGTGCCCCGTGGCGCCCGCCCGCACGCCGTCCCCGCCCCTCGGCCGCCCCCTCCGCCCTCGCGCGGGCTCGGGACGTGCAGAGCCGGCTAGCGAGCCGCAGGGACTGTGCCTGGCGCACTCACTTCCGCGTCCCGCCGCCCCCCGGCCCGCGCGCGCCGAGCCGCCGCCGCCATCGGACAATGGGTCGCCCGCCCCAGCTGCCGTGAACTTCCTGCCGCGGCTCGGCCGCCCGCGTGCCCCGGACCGCGCTCCCGCCTGGCGCTGGCCGGGATCGCAGCTCCGGGGAATCCGCGGAGGACCCAGCGCCCGGGACGTACCTGCGCCTCCGCCGCCGCGCCTTTGCTCCGGGCCGGACCCGCGGCCTCTGCACTCCCGGCCGAATCAGCTTCACCCGGCCCAGTCGGCTGCTGCCTTGCTTTGGGTTTTCGTGTTTGGTTGCCTAAGGAGGATGTGATTTTACTTTTTTGCTGTTTTCTTTTTCCTTTTATGATTTGAAGAGGAGAAAAGAACTCCGCTGAGCAGGCCCGGGACAGCGAAGCGCCCCCAGCTCCCCCAAGGACGTCTTCAGGAGAAAGGGAGTGGGAAGCAAACTTGGTCCAGCTGGCGTGGTGGCCTCAAGTTCCGCTGGACTCTTAAGTCGTGGGGTCATGCCCCTCACGCTGGGCACGTGGAAGTCTTTACCTCTTCTGGGCCGGACTTGAGCCCCCACGCTTCGCCAGCATCTCCCCGCTGCCCTCAACACCCACACATCCGGCACCTGGGCTAGGCGGGACACCTGTCTGCAGCATGGATAAGTATGACGACCTGGGCCTGGAGGCCAGTAAATTCATCGAGGACCTGAACATGTATGAGGCCTCCAAGGATGGGCTCTTCCGAGTGGACAAGGGTGCAGGCAACAACCCCGAGTTTGAGGAAACTCGCAGGGTGTTCGCCACCAAGATGGCCAAAATCCACCTCCAGCAGCAGCAGCAGCTCCTGCAGGAGGAGACCCTGCCCCGGGGGAGCAGAGGCCCTGTCAATGGAGGGGGCCGCCTGGGCCCACAAGCCCATCCGGAAGCTGGTGTGGGCAGCAAGCTGTCTGTGGATGGTGCTGCCAAACCCCCTCTTGCTGCCTCGACAGGGGCACCTGGGGCAGCCACCACCCTCGCTGCTGGGCAGCCCCCGTGCCCACCGCAGGAGCAGAGAGCCAGGCCATACCTGCATGGCACAAGGCATGGCAGCCAGGACTGTGGTTCCAAGGAGAGCCCGGCCAGTTCTGAGATGCCTGCTTTCCACCAGCCAGGCCCCTGCGAGGATCCTTCCTGCCTCACTCATGGAGACTATTATGACAATCTCTGCTTGGCCAGCCCTAAGTGGGGTGACAAACCAGGAGTGTCCCCTAGCGTCGGCCTGGGTGTAGGGAGTGGGTGGCCTAGCCCCCCAGGGAGTGACCCACCATTGCCCAAACCCTGCGGGGACCATCCCCTAAACCAGCGACAGCTCTCCCTGAGCTCCAGCAGGTCTTCTGAGGGTAGCCTCGGTGGTCAGGATACTGGCATTAGTGGCCGCAGCAGCGAGAAGCCAGCAGGCCTTTGGTCCACTGCCTCCTCCCAGCGAGTGAGCCCTGGCTTGCCTTCCCCAAACTTGGAGAATGGAGTTCCAGCCCTGGGGCCTGCTCAGCCCAGGACCCCTTCTGTGTCAGCACCCCTGGCCCTGAGCTGCCCCAGGCAAGGAGGTCTTCCAAGAACAAACACGCGGCCAGGGGGTGAGGTTTCAAGTGTGACGTCCAAACCCAATGTGGACCCCCAAGCCTGGTTCCACGATGGGCCCAAATCTTACCTTTCGAGTTCTGCCCCATCATCCTCACCTGCTGGCCTGGACGGTTCACAATCGGGTGCAGTCCCTGGGCTGGGGCTGAAGCCTGGCTGCACAGACCTTGGCACGGGTCCCAAGCTCAGCTCCACCAGCCTTGTCCATCCAGTGATGTCCACCCTGCCTGAGTTATCTTGTAAAGAGGGTCCCCTGGGTTGGTCCTCTGATAGTAGCCTGGGACATGTGCTCCTGGAGAGCCCCAGCTCCCCTAGGGTAAGGCTGCCCTGCCAGCCCCTTGTCCCAGGTCCTGAGCTGAGACCCTCCGCCGCTGAGTTGAAATTAGAAGCCCTCACCCAACGTCTGGAGCGAGAGATGGATGCTCACCCGAAGGCCGATTACTTTGGTGAGTGAGAGGCTGGTGGAGTTGCCCATGGTGAGGTGATGGGGTTCTTGAGATTGGGGAACATGCTCCCCACCGGGGATGCTGCAGACTGTAGCTACTCCTCCTTGAGTGGCCTATTATTTTTAATTTTTTTGTGTTTGGCTTCCTCTTTCAGCTTCTTTTTCTGATTCAGAAACTTGAAAGCATCCTGGCGCAGAAAGCGGACCTTGCATCTGGGGGTTACCCATGTGTGAAGGGTGCAGCAGGGTGGGATTGCTCGTGACTGCTCTCAGAAAAGAGAAATGCTGTGACTTTGAATTTCAGGGGTCTTGGGTGTGACTTTAAAGCTTCTTGCAGTGACCTGAATGGGGGCAGCTTTTTCAGGGGCAAGTACCCCTGAGCATTCAGTCTGTAGTTGGTTGGGCAGATCTGGTTGATCTTGCTGTTTGCAGGACCAGTGGTTTTGTGTGTGTGTGTGTGTGTGTGTGTGTGTGTGTGTATACTTGTGTGCAGTTGAGGTGGGTCAAACACTACCATGAAAGACTGTTGTAGAGCAGTGATTCTTACGTGCAGTCCCTGGATCAGCAGCATCCCTTCGCCTGCAAACTGATTAGAAATGGAAATTCTTGGGTCCCACCACAGACCTACTGAATCAGAAGCCGTGGGATGGGACCCAGCAACCTGTGATGCTGATGTGCGGTGAGATGTGTGGTGAGTTGTGAACGGTGAGATGTGCGGTGAGATTTCAACCCTGCTGGACTATGTGCCTCCTAACCCAGCCCACACCCGGGTACCAGCCGACAGCCAGGTTGTACCACAGCCATGGCACGAAATGGTATGGAAAATGTGTCTTCCTGGTTTTACTCAAACTTGCATGTTTTGTTTTATTCTCTTTTTTAAAACCACAAACTCTTGGAGACTGCTAGCTTCAACTTTTTTTTCTTTACACGGGGATTGGTGGTAGCTGTATCCTGTTGAGTAATGATTAGTTGTCTCATAGGAAAGCTAACTAGAAAGACAGCCCATTTGTAGAGAATCAGAGGGGTTTTTCTTTTTCATTTTTTAACTTTGGATAATTGAGCTCACGAGTTCCCCGTAGCCTGAGTCCTGCTGGGGTGGCAGCTCTGCTGAATGGAGGGCAGGGGAAGGGAAGGCTCTGGGAGAGGAAGACAGCTGGCTTACTGCTGTCAGTCTACGCTTACTCTCCGTAAACAAACATGTGTCCCAAGGTCCTTTGAGGGACCAGGGTCCAAGGCACTGGGCTGCTGGACATATGCAACTTATGGTAGCATTGTGTTTTGCTTCTCATGGGAGCCAGTTCTCACCCCATACTCAGCAGGCTGAGTTCAGGGTGACTGTTTACAGCTTACTTTTTTAAATATTTTTTTTCTGAGACAGGGGCTTGCCTTGGTGCCCAGGCTGGACAGCAGTGCAGCCTAGACCTCCTGGGTCTAGGCATCTTCCTACCTCAGCCTCCTGAGTCGCTAGGACTACTCAGGCGGAAGCGGGGGAGGAGGGAGGCGTGGAGGTATGCGTGTGGGTGTTTCTCCCTATGTTGCCCAGTCTGGTCTTGAGCTCCTGGTCTCAAGTGATCCTCCTGCCTCAGCCTCCCAAAGTGCTCGGATTACAGGTGTGAGCCACTGTGCCTGGCCTACTGGCTTATTTTTTAAAGCACATGGCACCATGTCACTGAACTCTTCCTCCTTAGCACATTCCCACCTTTGGGAGTAATAGCTGGAAATACTGTGAGTCTTTTAATTTAAACTTTTATTTAGTTGTAAATTTCAAGCTCATTGGACAACACAAACAGCAGTTTTATTTATCCTGAGATGCAAGTTTACCCCATGAATCAGAGCAGTGGTATTAGCTAACACCACTCATCCATTCAGCATGTATTAAAATTATTGAGCACCTATCCTGAGGCCATACTCTGTTGCAGGTCTTAAGGATACGGGAACCACTGCCTCCTTGGAGCAGACAGTGCAGTAGAAGGAGGCAAGGAATGAACGAAGTAAATAAGCAAGCACTAGGGAGAGAAACAAGGTAGAGGAGGGGGATGGAACCCTGGGGCTGGGGGTGGCAGAGAGAGTTCCAGTTCTAAATTGCGTGATCAGGGAATGTCCCACCGAGAAGATGCATTTGTGCAAAGGCATAAAGAAGGCAGGAGACTGGACCATGTGTTTGCCCAGGGAAAGGGTGTTCTTGGTGGGGCAGAGAGCAAGCACAGAGGCCCTGTAGGCCTGGTCTGTGCTGGGCACTGTACTAAACACTTGATGCTGACTATTGAATTGACTGGTCACAGCATTCTCAGAGGCAGGTTCTCCCATTACGCCTATTTTACTGATGAGGAAACGGAAGCTCAGGGAGATGAAATGACTTATTGGCGGTGGCACAGGTCATATTGGGTGCTGCTGGGACTTGAGCCTGTTAGTTCAGTTCAGCCTCAGGGTCCATGCGTCTAACCAGCATTGCCAAACTGTCTCCCAAGCAGAGATGTGGAAACCTATTTTATTTATTTATTTTTTTTATTTTTTATCAAGATGAAATTTACATAACGTAAAATTAACCATTTTGAAGTGAACAATTCAGTGGTGTTTAATATTAATACATTCACAATGTTGTACAATGAACACCTCTTGTCTGGTTCCAAAATGTTTTCATCAACCCAGAAGGAAACCCCATACCCAAAAAGCAATTGCTCCCTGTTTTCCCCCTGCCCCCCGGCTTCTGGCAACAACCAATGTGCTATCTCTATGGCGTTACCTATTCTGGAATTTCATGTAGAAATGGAATCATATATTTTGTTCATTTTTCGTATAAACTTCACAGATAAGCAAGCACGCACAGTGAAAACCGAGCCTCTTTCCCCGGCCTGTCTAGTCGAGCGTCTTGGGTGTAAGGAGCATGTGTGTGTTTCTGCCAGCCCCAGCAGTGGCATGCTGTCCCACCACACAGCGTCGCGGCAGTGGCTCTACATCAGTGTGTGTTGAGTTGGGTATACATGGCTGCTGTGCCATGTGCCCAGGTCACCTAAGCAGCCCTGTCTGATGGGCCTTTGGAATGTACCCATCTACAAGGGGCAGGCGTAGCTGCAAGATCAGCTCCCAGAAGTGGGACTGTGGGGCTGGGTGGTTTGTGTCCTTTAGGTGTGGCTTGGTTGGTCCCTGCAGAGCTCATGCCAGGGCTGAGCTGCCAGCTGTGTGGGAGAGGGTTTGCCCCACACCCGCTTTGGTGGCAGAGCTTCCATCTGCTCTTTCGCGACCTACCTTGAGGCAGAGGAGGAAGTCTTTTGGTCTGAGCATTGGCAGTATTTGCCTGGCCCTCTGCAGGGACCTTGACCAGACTGTGTACTCCTCCAGGCCCTGGAGGCTGGACAGCTGAGGCTCCCCGCAACAGATGCTTTTCCCTCCCCTACATCTGATATTACTGGAAAGATTTTGTCTACCCAACATGCAACATTTGTTAAATAATGGTTAGGTTCTACTTCCAAATAGAAGAATGTTTAATGGTGCGGAGGCAGAGTCAGAGTGACAGAACTCCCCATGAGAGGCGATGTCATTCAGGCCAAAAGAAAAGCAAAGTAGAGTTTGGGTTAGCCTGGACCCCTTCCTGGATGAAACTGCAGGTGTCCCTTTGGGTATTTGACTTTGTGGGAAGAGCTTGTGAATCCCCTTTGTCACCTTTATAAGCCCTCAGAGTCTGAAGATGCCCAGTTTCCAGTTACTGATTAACTTGGCACTGGGAACTCTTCTGGCACTTTCCATGGCTGGTCTTTGTGGATTTAGTAAAACAAGATCCTAAATAGGTGTGTTTCTTTCCCTACTCTACTGGGCCTACTTCCTCCTCCAGTCCCCCTCTGTGGCCTCTTTGTCTCTCTGTCCATGTTGTTGGGTTTTGGTCTTCCTAGGTGTTGCCCCTGGCCCACACCACCCAGTGCCATGTGGCTTCTGTTTTAGCGCCACTGCTGACACTGCAGAAGTGGGGTGCAGAGGGCATCATGCCTTTGTTGGTTGTGTCCCACCATCACCTCCACGGGATCTACCTATCTTCCTCACACTGGCCCTCTTCTCCCTTTCTAAGAAAAAAGATCACAAGCTGGGTGTGGTAGCTCACACCCAATCCTAGCGACATAAGAGACTGAGGCAGGAGAATCACTTGAGCCCAGGAATTTAAGACCAGCTGGGCAACATAGTGATACCCCATCTCTACAAAAAAAACACAAACACAAAAATTAGCCAGGCATGGTGGTGCACACCTGTAGTCCCAGCTACTTGGGAGGCTGAGCTGAGAAGATTGCTTGCGCCCAAGAGGTCAAGGCTGCAGTGAGCTATGATCGTGCCACTGCACTCCAGCCTAGATGACAGAGCAAGACCCTGTCTCAAAACAAAGACAAAAGACCCCACAAATAAACTTGTCGTAGGCTGGGTTTCCTGAGAAGCTGACTGAGAGTTTACTATGCAAGGGTTTATTAAAAGGTGCTTTTGGGGTCCACCCCCGCCATGGAGGGTGGAGAAGGAATCAGGAGTGGGCAGAGGAGAGCTGAGCTGCCGGGGCCTGACCCCACAGGGAGCCTGGGAGCTGGAAAAGCCTTTTAGGGTCATCCTAGTTGGCTCGACATGGCCCAGCCTTCACACTCCCTCATGGATCAGCTATGGGCTGTGGGCTGCCCAGGAAGATGATGAATTTGGGCGAGGCAGCTCTGTGCTGCTGGGGCATTCTCCCCAGAGGCTGAGAGGAGGGCTGCCCTCCTACTGCACCCCAGCAACTGTGCCTTCTCCTGTCCTCTCCTTCATCAAAGGGCCTTTGCCACATCACCATAGCCCCCACTCCTGAGGCAGGTAGGAGTGTGTGACTGGGGCATTGTGGTTCTAACAATAGCTATTGTGTGTAAGTGCCTGTGGTGTGCCAGACACTGGGACTCAGTGCTTTGTGGACGTTGTTGGCATTTAACCTGCACACCTAATTTTGATGTAGACCCCGTTATTCTCTGTTTACAATTGAGAAACTGAATCCAGAGAGGT